CTTAATGGATCCCAAGCTCTCACCCTTGGAAGAAATTTAGTCATTCCTTGGTTCTCCACGTCTGCAGGTGAGGTTGGCAAGCTTACATTCGAATTTTTGTCGGGATCATCCAGCTTTTTTGCCCTTTGGGTAGATTTTTGAACTAGCTTTTTAGTGCTGGTGTTCGCAGGATTTGACACTGGACATTAATTAGACAGCTGAGTCCAGAGTAAATGACACTGGTAATCTGTGGAGATTTCTGTTGTTTTTGAACATTGTTAGTGGAAGGAGAAGGTTTGAAGCTGTCTCGACAATTGAAGATCTGTTCATGTATGGAAAGTTGTCCTTTTTTGACACAGGCTCGCGAATCGTGACTCAACCTCTCATACTGGCCCGGGTTTTTTGACGTGTGAACTGCATTGTTCTTATAGGTTTGGGTTTTCACCTTTCTTTTATCAAGGCTGCAACTTTGTTTCCGCTCATCGTTTGGTTATTTAAGTGTCCGAGCTGACTGTGTCCTAGACATGGTGATGCCTTATTTACATTCGTTTGCATGTAGTTTGTGGAGCCATTGGGCGTTTAAATGATCTACTAGAGTAATTCGTGTATAGGGCATATATGCCGTTATTATGCGCTTGTCATTTAGTTTTCTTAGGCATAGGCATAGGGCCTGTATTAGAATAGCTGTCATTGCTTGTGTCACAGATTGCTAGAGCCGCTAATCTGCTCTTGTAAAATTTGGTGATATAATTTTTTTCTTGCAGGTCGTTGTTAGTAAAGCATGAATGGTGCTCCCTCCTACTCTAAGACTGGATTTCAATTCTCTATTTAATTGTTTACTTAGTTCCAGGGCGGATTCTATAGTGAAGAAATATCTCGAGGAAATAAACATATTTTGTTGCATTTTGATAGTTTCACAAGAGTATGTATATTAGGTTGCATAATACTGCTGAAGTATTTAAGGTGTGCTTGTAAGGTGTCTCAAGGAGCTAGTACACTAATTAAGGTTTGTTAAGCTATGCAAGAGCCATTCAAGGCATCTCTTTCAACCCTAGTTTTTTATTTTATTTCCTGTTGTAATTTTCTCTGAGTTTGTAAAACTGTAATGCTGTTTTTTGTAACGCTTTACACTTGCTTCATCAATAAACGAGATGCCCGCTCCTATTCTGTGTTTTGTGATTATTTAGATTAGTTACAAAATATTTTATAATCGTTTCAGTGTGATTAGAATATAAAAGTTGTTACTGTGGTGTAGAGCTTGGAAAATACCTCATTAGAAAGGGCATACAATAAACTTTCCAAAAAAACCTATTTTGTCCTCTGGAACCCCATAATACTTCACTGAAAAAATTTACAATACATTTTCTCCTAATTTATGCAAAAGTTAAATGTGAAATGTGATTTTGCAATAATAATATTGGATTGAGCTTTAAGTTTAAAAGAAAATTCTTCATCCAGTTATCTAGCAAAACAGACCACCATTCAACTAAAAATTTTGAACGACAAAATTTGTTACAATTTTTTTCCTGATGGTACCTTAGTATGCTAAAACCCAAATTTGCATACTTTGGCATCACCTCGTTTCATGTGTTGTGTTAGGTGTTTTGCTTCATGTTTTCATCATAAATCAAGCTAAAACACACAAATATACATGAAAACAAGCAGAGCTTTGATGGTATAAACCCAAACTACGAAACTGATGAACATGTGTAGCAGAATGAACTCACGGCAAAGAGCATGCGCTATGGATATAAACCTTTTCTTAACTACACTTTTGCATTTATTTACCAGTTTATGATCCAAAAAGCTAATTCATTGTGAAGGACATATTTAGTCGAAATTTGTTGCAGGGCTCGACGTTGCGACCTCTGGGGTCGCCAATGCGACTTGATTTTATTTAGTGGCGACTAACTTTTCACGCCTGGTCGCCAGGCTGGCCCCCATGATATTTGTGACCTTCTTTGGGAAAACGTACACTAACAATATTCCGGTAAACGGTTAGACC